TCCTTTGAGCAAAAAGCAAATGTAGAAACATGAATTTACGTCAAGTTCTCGTCGACGAACAGTCATTTATTGTGCATCTTTTGAAGTTCCGACTTGCACAATGCTGCATCTTGTAAAGGTGGTTTGAGAATGTATGAAACATTATGCTCATTGAACTTCTCCTCTTTGCTCATGATGTTTCTCTAAGTCACACACAGTTTCATTCCTGAATTATATACAAATCCGGGGCAAAATTCTGCTGTACAAAGTTTGAAACATCTTTGCAAGTCAACTTCAAACTGGGAGCGGAGCGGTTTTCCATGAAGTAAACCGTTCATCAAAAGAATGTAGTTTAAGAGTATAATTCGGGCAACGTTTCAATCTTTTTCTATGCGCTTCATCAACTCTATAAAAGAGAAGTCGGCAGTCAAAAAAAAAATAATTTTTTTCAACTTTCTGCTGCTCCGTAAGAAGAAGTTTTTCTGTTTGTCTCGTATACTGTCTAATAATAAGCTGCATTTTATTCTCTTTTTTCGAAAAATTTTTTATTACATAAAAATTTAACTTCAGTAATAAAATTGTCGAAGGCGATTATAGCGACCGTGCCGAATGCCTGCAATTGACAAGATTTGAAAACAGAAGACAAAGTGCACTTTAAATTAGTTACTTGAGCTATTCGAAGTTCAATGTTTTTAAATCCTGCTTACTGTGCTTGTACCAGTAGCAGTCACTGTGATATTCTGAATCCAGAAAAATATCAAATTGACTTTGTTTGAAATAGAAATTCAAGGGTATGTGAAATAGAAAATAGAAGGAACAGTGAAGTAGTAGTTCTTCGTACACACCGCAAGGATGTAAACGTCAGACCATGAACGATTAATCTTTCAGAATCGGTAAGGATTACAACTGCTGTTGCTTAACAGAGTAACAGAGAAAAATTAAGATTTCTGGGTAGCAATGGTTGACACGGAGACGCCGGTTTACAGTGATTTGTTTTTCAGCTTTGTGAAGTTTGATAATATGAAGGTTGCTATGTCAATCATTTGTCTCTTTATATCCTACTGCACAATGAACAACTTCATTCTTATAATTTCACCCTACGAAGGTTAAGAAGAAATAGACGTTCAGTGGTAACTGCTTTATTGTTTTCCCAGCTACTGTTGCTTTTTTCTTGAGCTATATATTAAGAAAAATATTGGAAACAGTTAAATCACTTTTAACTCAACCGTTTGCAATTGCCAGAGTAACATCGAAGGTTTCTCAATAAAAGACTACTGCTTTTTAACAAGCTCCAATTTTGGCTGATTTGAAGAGGAGTGGACCACTAGTACGATTATTGTAGGGAATTTGGTTAGCTTTTACGTTTTGTCTTTATTAAGTGGTGTTAGTTATGGGTGATCTTTTCAGAGCTAATTCTTTACCTGACTTTTTTTAATTGGCGCACATCAATACCGGACGAGCGCTGTTTGGAAGGGAAGAGATCCAGCAAATAGGAGCAAAACTCAGTGTTCACTGCGCGATGGATAGACAGCTTATGTAGTGACTACCTCAAGAGAACGAGATTTTTGAAGTGCCACTTTTTTAGGATCCTCACTGCGAAAAAAAGAAGAGATATACGAGAATATAAGGGTTTCAAAGCATTTTCTATCATTTTCTTGTGAATGTTGCAGAGTAGTTATTTTAAAACCGATGTTGGAATTTGGGTTGGTTTTTCTGAGAGGCTGTTAATTTACTAAGGGATTTTTAATTTGTATATTCAAAAGTGGTATATAGCAATATAAGTTCTCTGTAGTTGTTTTTCGTCATTGGAGCTTCTAATAGACTAACTAAAACTAAAGGAGTTTTCGCTTAATAAATAGTGGTAAATTGTTAATATGAAGAACTGAAATGAGAGCTTTTTTCCTCTAATCAGGAAAAAAGTATAGCTGTTACTATACGGCTGTACGTTACAGCAAATGCAGTCGTAATTATTAGAATCGGTAACAAGCTTGGTTTACAAATGTTGTGAGAAGATCAGCGAGTTTTGCTCGTTTCTCCTTAGTGTTTGTTCTGCTAAATGAAGAAGAGGAGTGTTTTCATTAACACTTAAGAGAATGTGGAGCATGCATTAGACAATGTCATCTGTGTCCAGTAACGGTTTTGGTGAAAAGTCGTTTGTTTTTCAATGGTTTCAATATCTTTGAAGAGGAAAGACTGAACGAGCAAAATATTACCAGAAACTGAATTTTCATTAGTAAGCTTTTCATAAGGAACAGTTGCTGAAAGAACCAACTTTGACTTTCCTGCTTCTCTCTATTCAGTCGCTACAGAACAAAGAAGTCTTTTTGGGTTTCTTCACATCTGTTACTTATTTTTGACTGAAACATCTTGTAAGAAAATCATCTTTTTGTTCTCTTTTTATGTCAGGATGGGCACCAGGTGGGCATTGACTTTCACGCATGTACATTAGCCGGCCGTTACTTTGCTACTGTATTAAAGAAGTGCTGTACCATGAAAAGACGGCTTGCTAGAGCAAATTAATTCCACAGCTTGTTGGGATCTGCCCTAAACGACAAAGATATGTCAAAATGCTTGTACTGGTATTTCACGACCAGACTAACTCGATCGCAAAATTGCATTAAGTTCTGTTTTTTTTTTACTATGAAAGTATGTGACTTGGTGAACATCATTCTTTCTGACTGAGAAATACAACTCATATTCATCAAATACACAGAATGCTAAAATAAGCTAAAATAAAAATGTAAAATAAATTTACAAATGTTGGTGCACGATATATATTATGTTTGAACAGAATTGGATTAATTCACTGGTATGACGTTAGATGATTTTCATTTCTTTTTCCTTTTAAAAGAAATCAGAGGGCATTGTTTTTTCTCTTTACTATACCAAACATTTTGCAGACTGCGTGTTACTTACCCGAAATGCTAAATGCTTTACATCAATTTCTACAAAAAAACTATATTTACTGTCACATATGTCCAGACGAAACACAAAAACTCTTCATTAATTAATTAATTGTAAACTGATTGTGCATTTGAGAGATAAGCTATTAAAGTCACATTAAGAGGAATACTTATAAAAAACCGTTTGTTTAATTTTGTAATTATTAATGCGACTGCTTAAATACAACAAATTAGCCCGTAAACTTTAAAACTTGTCATTTCTTTAAGCACTCAATCTTTTTTTGCAAGTTATGCGTACTCTGAAGTGTTCCTTTTCCAGTTGTCACTCAATACGTCGTAAACACCTTGAGTCGTTCACTGTTACTAAATGAACTTACACTGTATTGCTTAACAAAACCCTCCATGCCAGCACGATAATTTTATAAGGACGGAAGAAAGACGAAACAGATTAATTTATTAGTGTGACGTTAGATGATAAGGGTTTTATTTTAGAGCACAAAAAAACTGTTGACAGTCTATCACTCGCAGCCGCGATTTTAAATTGAAAACCAACTACCTCAACTACATCTATAGATACAAACTACTCTTTCATATAAAATGCCGCATTTAATACTAAAATTTCTGGCGGATTTATTGTAAGCTGTGAAAAGTAAGGGATTTCATGACGCACTGACGCAGTAAACTAATGATTAGATAATTGCTGATTCACTGGCAAATTCTGCTTAACCTTCCCCTGCCGCATTTATGCTGTACGATCAGTGCATTCCCTGTTTCAGAAATTCACAAATGAATTGAGAAAAAACATCTAAAATGTCCAACATGACGTTGGCGGTCTATATGAAAATGAAAAGGCAAATGTGAAAATGGATGCCGGTCATCACTTGCGAGTTCCGGTTACTGCTGACTAAAGCATCAGACTTTTTCACTGCCCTGACATTTCGAACAATCAAGTCGATGGCTGCGTAAACAATGTATTTTAGGCAAAATTACAGAAAAAACTTTTCTGCTTCGAAAGCCTATTTGTTTGGAAACTGATAAAAAATTTTGAAAATCTCATACAGAAAACTTCTGATAGAAGTGACTACTGATAGAAATACTAAGCAGGACCGCCAGTAATAAAATTACTCTTAAAAGCTGTTCTTTTACAAGGCAGAACGCTTCCCCTTTAATCCTTCGTTTGACACTGCAGAAATATCTCCAGAAAAATACTTGGATTCCGTCCATCACTACTGGCAGAGGTGAACATATAAATAACGTATAGTATCGTCAGCTTCCCCTTAACAAGCAGCGAGCAATAACCGAAGGTAAAGAATAGTATATTGGCTGTATGCCAAAACAGGTTTCTTTACTGCTTTGAGATTCGCCTGTACATTGTAGTTCGCCTGCCTTCTTGATGCTGATGGTCAAAGGAGAGGTTTTGTTTCGATACTGTTTTTGGATTTACAAATGTATGCTTAAATTTACTTGTTGCACGTTTAAGGCTAAGGTTTTTACGTTGGAATGTCTGGATTATTAGGGAATCTGGAAAAACGACCAATTGTTTTTAACTATTAACTGCTGTAGATACCAGTGGCGGTTGTAGTTGAGCCCGGAAAAAAGGGGGCGATTTATGAGTACCAACTGTTTGTGAATACTTGCCCCTACACTGATAAAATTTAGCTGCTTAACTGCGGCTGAGAAAATGGAGACGTTTCAACTCGTTGTGCTGAAGAAGTTAACACATTTACGATTAAAGGGGTTTACAGTCAGCGTGTAACTTAATGAATATTTGTTGTTTAATTGGTAATTTGGCACTTGAATTTTTTCTCACTAAGCAATATTTCAATGGAGCTACAATTGAATTTATTTCTGCGCTTAGACGGATAACTTCAGTGATGACGGGACACGGGGGAAGAACGTTTAAAGAAAGTTATGAGTACATATAAAACTGTATTTGAGTTGGCCAAATTTTTTCACCTTGGCGGATATTGTAGTATGACGCGAAAAGATTTCTTCTTGTCTTCCTGCTCATTCACTATTTATAAATATACTTTTTTTGTTGAGTGGCATTATTCGCAAATTTGCTGATTTTACTAATTGAACTGTGGAGCTTTTCAACGTTCCTTTAGTGATTTGTTAATGCTTTTTACAAAACCGTGGTTTGAGTCTGCAGTACGCATCAGAAAAGGACGACCTTTGGAACCGAAAAAGTGGTTCTACTTGGAACTGCTTCCTCTGTGCTCGAAAAATGGGATTACTGTTAAAAAGTACAAACCTGCAAGTGGGTTTTTATAACTGTTACCTACTGTATTCTTGAAAAATTGTATTTTTATTTGCCTGTTTCCGCTTCTACAGTCATCTAGAGTTTGGTCAGATGTTGTCTGCTTTACAAAGTACTGGACGTCGTTGAACTTATTTTTTGATTTAGGCACCGCTTGTACTGAGGAACTCAATGCATTTTTTGCTTGCCTGAGGAAGTGGGAGTTTGACGATTTACGATGTTCAACCACCTATGACGCCTACATGACATGTATCAACCGCGAGAAAAAAAGATTTGAGGAGTTCAGAGCTAGTGTGAAAGATGTAACTTTAAGACATACTCTTTTATATTTCTGAGTAACTGAATATTTTTTTTTTTGGCAGATCATTGCTTTTCACTTTCTACCTTAGTATTTATCGAACCAAAGATTGTGTATTGACAATTTTGGTTTGTAGGATTCATCTAGCACTGTGTCTGCTGGAGGTAGAGTACCCACAGGCCGACTTAATAAATTGCTCAAGCAGTACCCTCAACCTGACTTGGGCACTCCGCCTTACAAAAATATGAAACGTTTACCGAACCAGTCTTATGCAGATGACATTTACCACAGAAAGAAGACCCCTGCGAAGAAATCGTAGAAAGCCTTGCTTTCCACGGTTCCTGAAACTGGAACAGAAGCCGATACTCATGTATTTTTTATTATGCTTGAGCTCTTCCCTACAGTCATCTCTCTATGTGAAAGGAAGGCACTTTAGGTACTAGTGTTAAAATATGTGGCTTATAGATAGTGTTTGGTTTCCGAGTAGTGGTAGCAGTTAATAAACTTGTACGCTTCAAAAGGATTTGATTGTTGATGCTATTAACGGCTAAAATTGCTGAAAAAATTAAGAAGTATACTGCATTATAGCTTTAGTAACAGATAATGGTCTGATTCGTCCTTCCTGCTGATTGTGATTGTTATTTGAAATGTGTGCTGATCCGGCGAGTATCGATCTTTTGTCTTGGAAGGTGTTGGGTTATGCATGTTAAATGGCTTTTAGATGCTTGTGTTCAGATAATTTTTCATGAATTGGTAGTGTAAATGATTTGTTTCTTGTTGCTTGTCTTTGGTGCTTCGAAGGCTAGAACTTTCATCAGCTGACCAATGTGGAGCTCAACTAACTGTCTGAATCCCAGACTTTTTTGAGCTTCTTCATGCTTGTTTTCAGGTTAGGGCAAATTGTAGCTAATGCAAGTAGCAGAGTGGACTTGAAATTCAGCCTGCAGTTGTGCGAAAAAGTAAATTTTGCGGAAAAACGCACAAAATAACAACTTTTATTGAACAAGAAGGTTGGAAGCGTGAATACCAGTCAATTCACAAGTAAGCAACGGGAACAGGCAGGATTGATGTAGAAAATAACAAGGAGCACAAGTTACTAGAGGAATCTTGAAGTGGACTGGCATGGCAAGAAAAAAAAAATTAAACAACATTGTCGTAGTTAGTGTGGACAGGTAGGGCATTGTACGAACCACTCGTTATGCAAACAACCATAAAACAAAAGCTATGTCAATTTACCCAACAAATTAGAAGATATTTAAAAATTTTCCAGATTGGTGTTCAAGGAATTGGAACACTTACAGAACTGGAAAAGCGGGCGAAGCTGCCTTAAAATGCTAAGTGAGGGGGAAAAGTGTTGTCTTCTTTCCCCATTTCAGGTATGGGCCGTTACCTTTCAAAGCGGACTAGACGGATTCACTGAAGTAAACTGTAGGCAGATGGTCCAGAATGAACTTCATCCTTGAGACTGAAAACCAACAGTTAGAAAGTACGATATATATATATATATATATATATATATATATGACATGGAAAACAGAATAGGAAGAAGCTACTTCGTTTCAATTGATAGCTAGGTTAAGAAGACAGTAAAAAAGTGCAGCATAATTCTCCTAAACTCGCATTTTGCAATTATAATTGAGCAGAAGTGACATCTTTCTTGTATACGCTACTAATTCAAACTTAAGCTCAGTAGCTGTGTAGTTCCAGCAATTAAATCTCGAAGAATTTCAAGGACTCCATGTTAATACTTATTTTACGCCACCTACAAACGTACCAAGTGTGAAACAAGAAGTTCCCAATGATCCGAATAAAGTAATAGTAGTAGACCGGCTGCACCAGTTACTTTGGAACAATGAAAATAATAACTAACCTTCTTATGAGCTTCCTTGCTATGACCTGATTTGGGTAACAAAAGTTCTGAGCTGATAAAAGCATTCGGTATATTGGATCCATAATAAATTTTGTTATTTGCAGCGATCGCTTCTATTTTTTTCAGTTCAAGATACTCACTGTAAAGGTGCTCGTTAGTAACTGCTAAACAGGTTGTGATACAAGTGATAGCAGTAGTGTGAACTACAAAAAGCTTCTAATATGGCAAGGACTACAAAAAAAACTTGAGTCGTACGGCGTCAACAGCAATGCGTTTCCTTCTGCTTCTTTTTGTTTCTTGTAAAACTCAGCATCTGCACGAGCCTTTTCTCTCGCCAAGTGGCTTTCATCTAAAAATAATATCCATTCTCATTCGCACATTCGGTTCGTAACTCCCTCAATTTTTAAAGCAATCACTACGTAGAACAGCCTATGACTATCAGTGTATTTATGGTTGGAAATGAAGTTTGTTCTGACTGACCTTCAAGGAACGATATCTTCTTCTGTGCCTCCTTCTCTTGAATTTGTTGGTCATAATGTATCTTTGCCACCTGTAAAGCCTTTTCTGCCTCTGCAATGCGATTATTAAGGTGTTAACAGGCTTCAAAAGCACTTTTTAGAAAAACACAAAGCCAATAAAGCTTTAAGAAAGTTTAAGACTCATGAAAACTCTCAAGTATCCTAAACATCAAAAAGGTCAAAATTGAAAGTGGACTTATACTAAAAAAACACTGTTAGTGGTGACTCTTCGCAATCAAGCAAATTAAGCGTTAACCTATCACTGCCTTTTTCCGTTCTGTTTCAGCCTCTTTTTCAACGACCCGCTGATGCTGTGTAGCCACTAGAAGTTTAGTCTTTTCAGCCTCCCTGCAAACAATTTCCTTACAAGAACTTCTACTGACCCATCATCAAACAGTTAAGTAGCAGTCTCTAAAACAAACTAACATATGCTCATAATTCTGTCGAACAGATTCAGGGATTTTAGGTTTTGTTACGCGGACCGCCTGAACATATAAACCAGGAGCCATAACTGTTAAATCATCCTGCAACGCTTTCTTCAAACTTTCGTCAATTTTATCTGGAAATCATAATAAAAAACAACTAAAATTGCGTCCTAGAAACGAAGGCTTACAAATCATTGCAAAACTGTATTAAAATTTATCTCTCACAAATGTAAGTACTGTAAAGGCTAGTAAAATGAAGATCTGAATTCATGATGTTCAAACTTATTTCCTCCCCTCATGATACTCACCAAAGTAATCTATGTAAACTTCCTGCAAAGTGTGGCTGCTACAAAACTGATTGACCTCGTGATGAACCTTGTTGAAAATCAACGGCTTGTCATAATCAACTGTATAATTCTTTACAATATCATAAACTGAAACAGAGGTCAATTCTCGCAAAAAAAAAAAGAAAAAAAAAAAACGAAGGAAGAATTGAAAACAAAAAAGATGAGTAAGACTGGAAGTTTTAAAACAACTGACCACTTGATGAAGAAAGAATATTAACCACCTCAATACGGTCGAAATAAATCATTACTCCTCCGCTGAAAAGAGAGAAAAATAGAAAAATATGTTAATAAAAACAAGATAAAAAAAGTAATAACAATTTAAATCATTTTTTAGGTATCTACCATTTCTTACCTGGTACCACAAGGAACATTTTTGGCCTCATCCGTCTGCAATGTTACTTGAACGGATTTATAGGTCGTGATAAATGGAAGCATCATATGATAACCTGGCTGACTAACTCGACTTAGTAACGCACCACCCTTTAAAAGTACACTGCTGTAAAATGATTTAAATGATTGTGTACATCAGTTATACAACCCCCTGACTTTAAACAACATCGGCCCTTAAAAGCAAAAATTTACAAGAGATTTTAGCACAATCTGAGTTATAATGCTGAAAGCGGCTCACTCGAAGCAACGTACGTAAAAAACGATTATTTAGGGTAAAAAATAAACATAAAAGTGCTTACCCTGTAATATACTCCGACGTGACCTTCTTCTATATGATGCATGGACATAGCCATAAAGGCAACAATAGCTACAATGATAACTAAACATGCTCCACTTGGTATCATCGCGGTAAGCCGACAAGGATAACTGCCTAGCAATTAATTCTACAGCAATCTCACAGTACAATTTCGTTCCCAATAACAATATCTAAACCCCTAAAAAACACACATTTTCGGGCCAAATTAAAATACTGATAATTAACGGGGAAGCGAATGCTGAACTGGACAGCTAAATTTGGCTAACCTTATAGCCACAACTACGCATCAAATCTAATACATTTACCAGCTAAATTAAAAGAATAATAATAAGAACAGAAGCGGAAAAACAACTCAAACCTACCTTTCCGTATCAGTCAGACAAAAACTTAATTTCATTCACCCATCTATTTTGATTAAAATGGCTTCAACAGTTTAAAGGAATAATGAGGTGCAAAAATCCAGTAAAAGTTGTCCGTCAAAAATTGCTTAAATAAAACAAGTTACAAAACACCTTACAGATACAACAGGAAGCCTTTTCACAACAAGCGTTACCAACGTTTGGTTGAACAATTTATAGCCATTAGGAGGCAGTTTCATATAGTATGCAGTAATGCTGCGGGCATAAAATTTTTCCTCCTAACCACAGCCAACGAACAAACTTTAATCGGCGGCAAAGCGAACTGATGATAAAAAAGGATGCAAAAATTTATAAGCTGATTTGATAATTCAGTTTGATGTTAACGCCTATACATCGTCGATACCATTCAACATCCAGCAAAAAAATAGCCCAGTGGATGATTAGATAAAAAAAAAAAAAGAGAACAACAAAAGAAAGTATAAAAGCATCACAGAAGTGGTAGTTATCAGTCAGTTTACCCTCACTATCAGTCAAATAACATTCATCCAAAAAATTTCCACTGTTTACAGTGGCAGCAACAATTATCGACCATCGCAACAACTGTTAAAACCGACAGTAACCAATACAAAGATCAAACTAACAAGCAAAGAAAAAAGATTGTTTAGAAACACTTAAGTCACATACAAAATTCTGAGTGATGAAGTGGATAAAGAACAGTTAAAATGCCAAAAATCACATTCAAACTTTTAAGTTTCGGAATCAAGCAAACCTGAATAGAAAAGGAAAGAAATCACCCATCTCATATAGTTCCTCTACAGCTCAAAGCCTACATTTATCAAGTGACGAAAAAAAGCGATCTATAGCAACCAAACTGGTTAAATGTTAGTGCCAGAGAAGTATATTTGCCTAACTATCAGAAACCGCTAAACTTCTCTAACTCCTTTATGCCTCCCGTGTCCCACCGACGAGTCTCATCGGCATAGCACATAATTAGAACTTGCCGAAGTTTCATGCAGCAGTCAATCCTCATCGTTTTTCACAATAAAATCCAATCAGCTATGATCGTTTTGTACCGACTCAGCAATCTTGCAGTCTCACTTTACACAATTAGTGGATACCACTTCCAGGAAATATTCATTCACATTGTAGTTCCACGTTGTGTTTTGCTTATTTATCTCATGCTTTAAAAAGTCTATTTTTAAGCAAAATTTTAAATGAAGAAGAAATTCAAGGACAATTTTTAAAAGAATTTTGGCAGCAAATACTGTTTTGCATATTCCACTCAAATACATACACGCCTACCTGTTCAGCTTCTAACTGATAAAGTATTTATAAAATTTTCACAACATCCATTTCATCCAACACGTATGAAAATTTGCATCAGCAATGAAAAACACGTTGTTGAAAAATTCTACTATCCAAATTCAATAGACTGCCAAAAAGAAAAAAAAAAAAAGAAGGAAGAGCAAAAAGCAAACAATAAGTGCTCCTTTTAACCGGTATTTTAACGTTTGGCCAAATAGCAACTTTACTTCTGCTGCCCCATACAGCAACTGCCAGCAGCACAGTTAAAAAGTTATGGCAAACGGGCTATACTGTTCACGAACAAAACACCTGATGTAAAATTTTTGTATCAGCTTAGTTTTTTAGTGTAAGTAACAAAAATTTAGCTTTCTAAACAAAATTTTTGTTGTCATTGCAACTAAATGCACCTCTAAATAACCGATAAATATAAATGTGAACAACCTTAAGTAATAAAAGTTACTTCACAGTTATTCTTCAAAAATCGTTAATGCCTTCATCACGGATGTATAATTGTTGTATATCACCCAGTCCAGTTCCCTATTGCACGCTAGTTTTACAGAGTTGTCGTGGAAACCAAATTTATGCATAATACATAAGCATATATACGGCAGAATTAGAGCCGTCAATTAAACATATTGTTATATGTTAATCTATAAGATGTACAGCACAAAATACAGGTTATAAATCTTTAACCTCATTTTTTACAGTTTTGTTAAAAATAAATTAAATTTATTAAAAAAAAAAAATCTTAGCATGTATAAAAGACGGATTTCATCCTTACCAAAAATTTTGATAAAGATCTTCCAGTCGTTCGTTTTGACAAAATTGCTCAATTCAAGCATAAATATTGTTTTATTAATTTCGCAATTCGACTTCTTCTTTGTAGTTTAATTCCTTCTAATTGAATGACAAAATTGCTCAATTCAAGCATAAATATCTAATTAAAATACCGGAAATCAGTAGTTTTTGAACCCTCATTATCTGTAGCGAGAAAACATCTGAATACTGCTAGAAGCTTAATTTTATGGAACAATGCTGGTCAGATCAGTTGGCATTATAATAAATACAAAAAAAAAAGATGACATTTAAAGTTTCGACAGTTTGTTATACGACACTGAGCAGTCTAAATTCTTCTATCAATTCAACAGGCCTAATCCTTTATAAACAAATTACTCCTCAAAAATTTTATTAGTGGCTTATTACCAGTGCTTATTATGTAATAATTTTTGTCAATGAAAAGCATAGGTCATTAACTTTTGCTGTTTTGAGTTAATCAAAAAAATATATATTTTTGTTAATTACAGCACATACTTTATGTATTGTTAACTAAGTAAATAATTACTGCAAAATTGCGCTATAAATTACTATTTGCAGTTGAAAGATCAGTTAATTATGTGCAGTCTTACAAAAAGCACAGTATATTGTTGTGATAATTACTGGAAGAAGTCTGACGATGAAATAAGACGGAATATAGATGATGAAAAATGATTGTCATTGCAAAAGCTAAACACTTCTAAACACTAC